AGTGCCTTCTTACATACGTTTACATAACTAGTTATCATCGATTAGCTATAGTATTTTCAAAACTACATTTGAGAATTTCATGTTCAAAAGGAGTCTTTCAATATGACTGATCACGTGATTGAAATTAAGGGTAAGCATATAATCTTTTAGGGGAGTTGTTGAGCCCAAATGTGTCATCGTATTTTCTCTCACATTTTTGAGAGTAATAGTTTGGCATGGGAACACACATTTGTACAATTTAAATTATAAACAGAATATGTACACAAAAAATGATCATCGTCACATGATTGAAAAAAACCCACGAGAGTAACGGGGATTACCCTAGTTTCGACAAACGCCTGATTCAAACTCAAAGTCGATAAAGCTTGGGGAAAGATCAACATGGAGACCCTACAAAAAGTACGAAGAGGATGAGACCAATTGTTCTGGAAGAGTAAGCGTCTTCTGCTTCATCGGCGACACCCGTCATGAAATCCAAGTAATGGCACGCCCTCATAGCGAGAACCGTGGTAGTGAAAACGAAAAAAGGCAAATTACAGAGCATGATGAAAAACACCAACCTTCATATCACACAAACAAATAGCATATTTTTCAATGAGATCATGATGACGGTTATAACACTTGTCCATAGTTTTCATCAACCTGCCTCTCTGAAAACCCTGAAACCATATGGGTTTTAAGTTTTGTATGTCAGCAGTCCATAAATAGGTGTAAATCGTACTCTATAAACCTATACTACCATAAATGAATATTGAAAATAGACAACAAGTACAAAACATTTATGTTTGGAATGCACATTTTATTTATAATTTTGATATACATGTTCTAAGCGGCTGCAATAGTCCAAAGCATGGTTAGCTTACCGGAGGAAAACCGCAAACTTTCCAAATGCGTAATTTTTGATATAAATATATATATATACAAACCATTGTTTTTGTAATTTGTTGTATTACGACGAAGGTTTTTAATCCATAACATTTAGTTTTTGTTTTGAATTTTAATATTTTGACAATATGACAGACGGAATTTTTGCTTTAATGTGTTGTTAACCTAACCAGTCTTTGAAAAAGTGCTGCCAGAACTACGTATAGCTAAATAGTTGACGATAATCTTGTATCTCTCACTTTGTTAAACATTGCCTAACAATCGGAATGTCGATTAAATATGGAACTAAACGTTTAAACGTTGCATTAGACGTAAAAACATGGAACAGACAACAAGGACGGCATGCGTTTGTAAATATATATCACAGAATAATAAACAAATACAATTATATATGTAAAGAGTACATAAATTGCTGATAATATTTTTTCATATTTTTAAAGATTTATCAAAATAATCCTATTCAATAATACATATTCTTTCAATAATAATCAACGTTAATTTCAATACAGTTTATTAACAGAATATTATTCAATTGAATTGGACATCAGGAAAGGCGCCTTTACAATTAAAGTTTTCTCTCACAAGCATGTTAGTGACAAAAAATGAAACATACCGAGTAAATGTCAACAAACATGTTCCACAATTTGTCCATGAAGAATTTTGCTTGAAATGCAAGATTTTTCTTGAATTTTATCGGGAAAAAATAATCCTCAAGTAAAAATGTTAAAACAAGTGGGAGAAAGATCGATTCCTTAGTCAAATTGTTTTACGATATTAATATACACACCATATAACACAAACAAAAAGCTTCATATTAATCACCAATAACAATTGGTACGTTTGACGGTCAATCTTAAACGAAGCTGCTTCTTTGTTCGATCATTTTGAAAAGACTCCTATAGCTTAGTAATTTCTGACTGTTGTTTTATTTATTAATCTTAAACAGGCGCAAACCTTACTAGATAACCAATGCATGGATCTTCATTACAGTTTTTTTTAATTGATTTGCCCCTCATCCTAAAAAAAAATCAAAAAAAAATCCGACTTAGGTAAAGTTACAAGACAAGTAGCCAACCCAAGTCTGATTTTTGGATATACGTTTTAAGGATGAGACAATCAATCTCAGCAACTGTAATCACCATAAAAAGTAGCATGGACATCAATGCAGAATAATGGGCGGACATCACATCACAAATTTAACATACAAGTGTATATTATAACAAAGACTAGCTAGCACAGCTAAAACCGTTCTATGAACATATAATAACATATATTAATTGTTAATATAATCACCCATCTTAACGAATCGTGACGATTCTCTACAAGAAAAAAAAGTTTGTTTCCTATCTTAAGTCCAATGAAAACAGGGTAGGTTAGACGGTAATTTCTTCTTTGATTTTGAATTTCTTTACAACCCATAGAGCGAGGACAGAGAATTAAGCATCGCTTTTAGGAAGTAAGCCATGAAAAAAAAAATCCGGGAAATCGCGATCAAGAGGTTTTTGTAGGAAGACAGGATACGGATGATTTCTTGTTTAGCGTTAAAAGTCCATGATACAATCTAGTCCTTTCCAAGTACATTGACATTTTTGAAACCCTGCAACAAATCTGACTAAATATGGGACAATTAAGAAAGAGAAGTTATGATATATCAGTTTTGAATAAAGATAATTTTCACAAATTCTACAAAAATCAGTACATAATCATCTTGAGGAAATATATTTATAATTGAACTGGGCTAAGAATAAGCTAATCAGTTGTAAATAATATTCTATGTAAAAATAAATATAAAAAAATGTATGTTAAGTACATAGGGGAATATATAGATGATTAATTATTTTTTCAAATACCATGATTTTCCTTTTTGACAAGTAAGATACCCTAAAAAGTTTAATTAAGAAAAAAAACCATTTCCACATCACTATCCTTTTTTTTTTTTTTTTTATATCTGCAATAGATAAACTAGAACATAATTCTACATAGAATGGTGAATTTTACAACTAAGAGACCTATTTTTCATAGAATAAAAGGAAAACTAAACCAGAATTCCAAAAATTAGATGACATTGTAGAAAATAATCACAAAAAGCATTTGTTCAGTTCAAGTGAGATATTTTACCCTAACCCTATGTACCCAGAGAACTTCGTAAGAAAACTATTTTTTAGACAATTTCCTTTCATGAAATGCTTTTCTGTAATGATGAAAGATAATGAAACAAAGTAACAAATTTAAGAAATCGCATAGTTAAGGTATCTTTGGTAAGGCAATTAAAAAAAGGATGAAGTTAATATATACATCTAATAGCTAATACATAATATCATACCATGTTTGACATGATTTAATCCTCCGTAAAATAACCTTCTAAATATGTGGCACGATACATAATGTAGAGTTATTAAATATGATTTAGCCTAGAGATTCTCTATGAATTAACACACATTTGATCATATTTAGACAATATGTTCAGGGAGCGTCGCGATCTCTATAGATCCGTAAAGAAAACAATGGCAGTCACGAGCGAAGTTAATAAATGTACTATGAGCTTTTACAATTAATATATTACAATGTTTACATTAAAACGTAAACATTATTTCTTGTTTCCCAAAAGGTGCCGTTAATATGTACAGTGCCTGTTAATATAAATAATTACACAATAATATCATTAGTCCGTATGTTAATATATTTGGATGAATTTTGCTGCATTTTTTGATAAAAGAAACCCCCAGAATCACAGATAATCGTTCCGGACAAACCCTCTTGGCACATACTGACAATAAGTCTGCTAAACTCAAAAGTTCATGTTCTCTTTCAAAGATGGTCTATCTTTAAAAAGTCATTCTTAAAGAGACGATTTCAGGAGAAAGTTGAGCATCCTTACTGTACCTCCTTCTAAGTGTTAGATTACATTGGCGTCTCATAGGCAAAATAATTCTTCTTTTGTTATTCTGACATATTTTGAATTGTGGACAATATTGCAAACACAAGGAAAGCACTTTTTTCTAATTGCTAGGGAATCACACAATATATCAAGTACCATGCTGATCGAACAAAGCAAAATTCAATGGCATAATTTTGTTCTTCAATTTCTTTTCAAACAACAAACTTAAAAAATTCCATATTTTTGTTAATTTTTGGCAGAATTGTTATTCCTATGTAAAACATCATGAGATCTACCTGAAGTATAACTGTATCCAAGCATATTTGTGTAATGCACAAAACACAGAATTTAGGACTTGCACAACCAAATCGGTATCTGTTTGTTGAACTACAACGTGTTATACCCCTTGGCAAGAATATCTTGAATTCTGACAACATACTTAAAGAATCAATGAATTATCGATCAAATTCATTTACTTCACATTCCTTGGAAGCAACCATTTTTTTTACCCGTAGATAGTTCTATACACAAATCTACACATTCACATTCTTGTAAGTATACAATTAACATCAACAAATTGTAGTATCCCAAATATGTTGGGTGAAATTGATATATGATATTTATGGGTAAAAATTGCTAATCGTTTTAGTATCTCAGTACTTTCAGTACTTTGATGACAGCGTACTATAACTGAACCATTTTTGTGCCACTATTGCCTATGTCATATCAAAAGCTTTAACATGGATTTACTGTAAAAATGATTACGTTAACAGCATATTTCCTGCTTTACATTTGTCCAAAATTATGAAATCACTGAAATTTTATTTTTGCAAACCATTGTTTTTTTCAGTAATTCAATTTTGAAATATAATAATTCTAGCATAATCATCCTCGAAATTCCGCATAGAATTTCTACATTTAACTTCGACTAGATCATAAAAAATACACAATTCTTGATTTTAATACATCACAATTCCCTGTTTTTATATACAGAACTCAACTACCTCTCCATCCTCGATATCCAGGGGTTATGCTCACTTTTGCTTTCTACACCCCTGGAATATGTCATAGCAAAATTGAAGGCAAGCGGCTAGCTATTTGATTGGTGTCAGGTAAAAAAAAAACCTGACCAATCACTAGTCTGATACTTGTTCTTTGAAGATTACAGAGGAGATTCTTTTGATGTACATCAAAGGATCAAACTAGTCTTCTCCTCCTATCCACAAGGTGCTGCACATTGTGCCTTCGATTTTGCTATGAAATATTCCAGGGGTGTAGAGAGCGGAGGTGAGCGTAACCCCTGGAGTATCGTGGATGCTACCTCTCTTAAGTCAAGTTTAACAAATGATAGAAATGGATTTAAACCTTACAATTTGGGCAGTTGTATGCTTAATCACAGCTAATTTGATCAACCTGTAACAATATGCAATATTTACATTACATATTTATTATATTAATTAAATACATCTTAAGGCTATTCAACATATAAATACATAAAGGGTAAGCAGAAATATTTTGTGACCCCTAACCTCTATCAGCATCAATTTGTCCATTTCCTAACTACATACTCTTACAATAATCTTATTATTCACTACTCCCATTATTTTCCTATCTTGAAACCCTTAAAACCAAAATGAAGTTCATTAGCGTCTATTGCCATTTAAAAGCAAACTAGTCCCACACAGCATAAAATATATCATAATCATGCTAAAAACTATGGATATCTTTTAAAAGCAAGGCAAGTTGAACCTAATAACTCCCTCTGAACACCAGAGATAATAAAGTTTGTCTTTCATGCTGAAACTGTCCATTCATTCTTCAGTTAAAAACACAAAGGACACCCATTCTTTACCAGAGTCCTTTGATTAAAACCATCCTAAAAAAGACAGAAAGGCATTTTTAAGTTTAAGGCTTGAAAGAAGCATTATATCATCATACTGACAAGTAAGTAATACAGTAAATAATACAGATATATGATTATACTACCTAATAATCAATACTATGACACCTTGTCATAATGTGGTAAATCAAATTTACAGAATATCTACAGAAAACTCATGAATTATATTTAATCCTGTTGATAAACAATGATCATCTTTTCTCCGAAACATTCTATGATGATTTCAATGCCTTTTTATAATGATGTCGTAATCAAAATGGAAAGCGGGCAACAACCATAACAAATTGATAAAACTTGTGTACAATCCTACAGTGCACTTTTCACCAATAAACATGTTTAAGGATCCTTGTCCCACTGCATGCAAAACACTAGAGAGCTTCGCTATAGTTTTCTTAATATAGAAGCCTCTCCTTAACCCTTTCACCCCTAGGTAACTTTAGTAGACTCTACCATACATTCACCTGGATGAGACAATTGTGGTTTACAGTGGTGAAAGGGTTAATTTAGATTTGGATAAAACAGTAGTGGGACTGGGCCACAGAATTACTGTTCATATGGTAGCTCACTTTGTATGGTAATCGGAGGTCAATAGTTTGAATCTTGGTTTTTCCGTTTTTATTTTAATCTTGGAATAATGTGGTTGTCATTTGCCTTCTTTAATTTTCATTTTCTTTATGAAATTTTCACAAGCTATGGGTTTCTTTCCAGGAATGTATCTATTAAAAAGTTTCCAATTCATAGGTATGATTTCTGGCAGTGGTACAGGGGTCCTTAAATGAAACCGGAGATACCATACTTCAAAACCATGCCTACTGAAATCTTGTCATTGCTGGCTAAGAGTTTTGACCTTGGTTACTGTCCTATCAGAATACCCCCGTACTTACCCTTTTTGCTTTTCTTTTCTGTGGAATCTTTACCACTGGTTGAGCCCTCACCAATCAGAGCCAAACTCAGGTCCTTGTAATCACCAGACACGTCGTCCTGAAAACGGAAAAACAAAACTGACCTAGTTACAAACATGTAGTTATTTGTCTTCTTGATTTTCTGACTTTGTTTGAAAGATGATAATTAATTAGCTTACACTTATGAGTAATGATTGAAGTTATAAAAGTGTTATAGCTTTCGTCATCAATTTTGTGCTTTCTTTTTTATGATTCTTTTCTATAATATTTTTATTTTCATGCCCAATTTTTTTTATAATGCATTCATGATACAGTGAAACCTATATGGGCCGAATACCGACCTGACATTTATTTGTTTGTCATAATAGAGAGGGTTTTAGATAAGATTTATCTATAGATATGCTTCATTTCTATGTAAATGGCACCTATGTAATCTAGAAACCTGCACTAATCAGACCTTCAGGTAAATGTAGATCCTACTGTGTACGTTTTTAGGTAAATTGTACCAATGCAATCAGATACCTGTTTAAACCTAATCTTCAAATTGATCCCAATGTAAGATGAGAACCTTTGTTATCTGCAAAAAAATATACTTCCAAATCCGAAATTATACCAAGCGTGGACCTATTACTGGTCGACAAGGCCTGTCACTGGTAATTTAATGGTAAGCTACAAACGTTTTAAAGAACTAGATTCTCAACTTTTATAATAATATAAAATTTTATTTATATGACTTACAGCAATAAACATGCCAAGCGTCTGTTTGTAGGCTTGCTGGAAGGCCTCTTTGATCTGGACCATGTCCACTTCACATCGCGACACGAGGATTCGGCACAGACGGTCATCATCAGTCCCAAGACCCTTCATCGACTTATACAACTCATCGGCAAAGTGTGATGGCTTGCCCCGTATACAGCGCACTGAAAATGATACAATGTCCAGAATTAGCCACATGGTACCTACAGCTGAGATATCAATTAAAATCTGATGAAAACAACTCAGACTTAAATAAATATTTAACTACCGCCAACTTCTGACTGATGGCTGGTCCATTGGTTAAAATGCTTTTCGAAATTATTAAAAAAATACTTATGATATCAATATTGAACTGCATTCTTTTTAAAGGTACATATATAGCCCTATAATTCTAAAATAAATTTCTGACAAACAATCAATAAAGGTGTGCTAACTTATATATCTGTAATTCTATTCAGAACTAATACTTTCAACAGAATGCAATTTCCCAATTAAATAAAGAACCCACTTAAAATTCTAACAATTGAAAAACGATTCTGACAACTTACCGATGGCCAACATGCCCTTGAGAATGTCGCCTGACATCTCGCTCTTCAGCGTGTCATCAATGTCTTTGTTGGCCAGTTTAGCGTATTCCTGGAAGGTAGCACGGAGCTGTGCGTACGAGCGGGAGACAAGGATCACGTTGAATCGGGACTCGTCTGTCCCCCATTTCTTCTCACCAGCTTCGTGTAAGGCCTGTGCATCTTGCTTGGCCTTGTTGCGGTCAAACTCCTTGCTCTCGTCACGGTTTGCCTGGAGACAGCTTATCAGCAGGCGTTTGAAGTTTCCTGATGTGTCGCCAGCGACGTCCGTCTCCAATTCCTTGCTATACACTAAAAATAACAAAATTTTGTTTGTGTTTGATCTACGTAATGCCAATCAGGTAAATAAGCAGTTGGAGAATGTGAAACTTGTTTCTATATGCAAAAATCACCTAAAATCAGATTAAATCAAAAGGGATATTAAAAGTTTGTTTGCTTATAGGTTGTAAGATATCAATTATACGACCAAGGACCAATTATTCCTGTAATTTTTATAATAACCTTGAATTCGGTACTTTTATATTAATTGAATTTCGATATATAATCAAGTAATCTTTCAGGTAAGTGTGTAAACAATAATTTCAAAACCTCAGATGTCTTTCAATCAATGGTGCCGTTCCATGAATTTACATTGTGACATCATCTTGTGATGTAAAATTGAAGTTGACACAATGGAATAAGGTTAGTTTTAGATTTGTAATTGTGACTTTGAAATTTTCGAATGATTTGTAGATGAAAATTAAGCTTTGTACTATTTATGTGTTAAATGATCTCCGACGAAATTAAGAATTTGGAAGACAGTTTCCAATGATGCTTTGGAGTTGTTACTTTGGAGTATAGACCTGTGATACTCACTAGTTTTGTGGTTGAGTATAGACCTGTGATACTTACTAGTTTTGTAATTGAGTATAGACCTGTGATACTCACTAGTTTTGTGATTGAGTATAGACCTGTGCTACCGACTATTTTTGTGATTGAGTATAGACCTGTGATACTCACCAGTTTTGTGATTGAGTATAGACCTGTGATACTCACTAGTTTTATGATTGAGTATAGACCTGTGCTACTCACTAGTTTTGTGATTGAGTATAGACCTGTGATACTCACTAGTTTTGTGGTTGAGTATAGACCTGTGATACTCACTAGTTTTGTGATTGAGTATAGACCTGTGCTACTCACTAGTTTTGTAATTGAGTATAGACCTGTGCTACTCACTAGTTTTGTGATTGAATATAGACCTGTGATACTCACTAGTTTTGTGATTGAGTATAGACCTGTGCTACTCACTAGTTTTGTGGTTGAGTATAGACCTGTGCTACTCACTAGTTTTGTGATTGAATATAGACCTGTGATACTCACTAGTTTTGTAAGACGCCTTGAAGGCCGTGATCTGTGCGTTAGACCGAGTACAGATAATTTCCACAAGCACTTGCTCATCTGTGCCGAGGCCCTGGGAAGAAAACAAGGGAGGTAACTCATAGAAGACACATTTTTTCACACAGTCAGTAACATATCACATATTAAATAGACATACAGCTAACTAAACATGATTACCAATACAAAAAAAATCCTAACAAGTGGAGGTATACTTCATTTTACTAGCAGAAAAAAAATAACAAAAGTTGAGTACAGTACATATGGTGCCCGGACCCATTCCATGAAATATCATGTCATTTTACTTTCTCATTAAGTTATTTTTTCTCTCTCAAGGTATTAGGGTCTGGACTAACTAATTATGATGTCACACATCACATGACTTACCTTGATAGCCTTATTTAGGTTCATGGCATCAAAGTCTGGGCTGGTCATACACAGACCGTGACACAGTACCTTTAGTCCTCCACTGAGCTCACCGTCAAGTTCCTTGATCAGGTCCTAACAAACACAAACAGATGTCTCATAACTAACAACAGTAAAATGTCATATAAGACAAGTCAAATAACTCCACGGAAGTGGATATATTGCATGTAGAGGTCTGGAAAAGCCATTGTCCGGACGTTATGGACGAGTGAAAACTGGCTTGGACAACTAGATCTTTCTGTGTAAGTTGTCCATCAAACAAGTAATTATTTCTGCTGATATAATAGCTTTACATTAATTTATTTATTCAAAAATCTGTGGAAAATCTGTTGTGTTTATTACAAATTTTGAAATCCAACTCAATCCAACAATCGCCACAATGTACTTTCGTTTTTGCTGTTACTCAGTCAGAACTCTTGTGACCACAGGGGCTTGTAACAAATATATCTATAAACATAATGTTAAGTATTAGTTGTGTTCGTTTGAATTTTAAATATATTTGTTACAGGTCCCTGTGGTCTGTGCCAGCTATGTGTGGAATGATGGCTCCTGCAATTTACTGATGATGAAAGATTACAAAAGGCACAGCGGGCTTGTAGCACTCGTCTGGACCATGATTATGTGTAAGTTAGACATTATGTTTGCAAATTGAATGAGCTGAACAACAGCGCAATTATGGGACCTCTAATACACATGTTTATTAAGCTTTTTCCTTCATGCAAACATGAATAAATATTAAAGCTATATGCATTTAGTTTTTATTTCAGTCAAAACTTTCCCTACCTTCCCAAACATGGTTTTGAATGTCTTTACAACCTCCATCCTCTGTTCGTTAGATCTGAATCCCAGTACATTGATGATAGACTTTTCATCAGTACCTGTAACACAGAAACAATGAGATATTTTACACAATGTTTTAATCAATAATGAGCCAGATAAATAAAATCTCATGATTGATAATTATTTTTAGCATCCATATATAAACATTTGACAAAATTAGACATTTTTTCTTTATAAATTTCTGATTAACCCTGCTCCTTAACTCATTGACCCCTTAAGTTCCATTTTGAACTATTCCAACCTTTGAATTGGAAGGGTTCAAATTTGTCTTCAGGTGTGAATGAGTTAAGCACCTTTTCAATTGCTACATTTCATTACATTTGGATTTCTATATATTAACAGGCTTAGGTTATCTCCCCTGCCACATTCAACACTTACCAAATCCTTTCATAGCCTTCTTTAATACTTCAGCATCATTTTCAGCATTGAAATTCTCCGCGGGTTTAAGGGTAGGATCCTCCTGTTATACAGAAGAAAAAAAAAGAAAAAAATGAATGATATTTTTGATAAATTAAAATAAAAGTACTAATGACACTTAATTTGTTTCATTATAAAGTTAAAAAACATTTTATTCACAATACTAAGTTTAGTTTACATAAACTGTTAATAATTCTATCAGGGAAAAAAAGATGTAATCAAAAAGTGTTATCAGATTAATGTATATTTTTGTTATTAATTATATATTCTCAGTCATATAATTTTCAATTTAATTTCATAATTACAGCAGCTTTGTAAAGGGTGTATGTGATAGTTTTGTTGTCCATTTTACATGTTTCTTACAATTTTCATAACTAACAACAACTAATCTACAGATATAATAACAAATGTAGAGTTTTTTTCTTCATTATACGGTAAGTGATGTCTTACCTGGATGTTTTCCGTCTCCATCCGTACTTGTTCATCTAATTCTTCTTCTGTCTTGTATTTCACAGCCTCCACAAAGCCCTTGCCAGCTGTCAGAATAAAAACACAATATTGTTACTGCTGTATAGATGTACTTCTAGTCATTGATAATTTAAGGATCATCATAAACTGCCAAAAATTGCAATTTCGCAATGGACATTCATTTTCTTCATCATTGACTATAGCTTTAATAAATCCTTTCTGTATATTTTTTAAAGAATTTTTTGAAATTGGGTAATGAAGATTATAAAATAATATAATAATAATATGATGTTTTTTGTGCTGTTATATATATTATCTGCCATTTGATAAATAGTTGACATCTCTTATAAAGAACTCCCTTAAAAACATGGCACAGTATTGTTTTTTTAGTGAAATAACAGATTTATTGGTTCCATTAATTTGTGTTTAAGCCAATCAACTTTAAACAATTTGGCCCTAGCAGTATATTGGTCAAAACTGACCACTGGTTACTCACATTTTGTGGCCCTGTCTGGGGGAGGTCCTCCCATGACTAGAGACAGGATGACATCACGATAATCGGAGCTCAGGTCATCCTTTAAGTCAAACATCACAACAACACGGATTAGCAGCAATCAAACATCTTAATGATTATGATCATATATAAATCATCCGTATGAAAACATACCTTATAGTGGTTTCATTTTACAAAGTGTTAATTAAACCTATTAAAATTTCTTCGATTATGAATTTAATTTGAAGTGATTTCTTATTCCCATTTAGCTCACATAGAAAAAATTTTATATTAAGGAATACTGTACCAGGAATTTTTGCCGCAGATTATGTTTCGACTTTTCCTTTCTCCATATTAACGAGGGTATAAGTACACAAAGTACTTAACATAGAAAAAACATTTAAAGCATGAAACTAACAATGAACGAAAATGATCTTCAGTACACGGAATTAAACCACTTTTATACCAAAGTTTTTATTTTTATTTTCTCAGGGTTCAAGATAATGGATTATTTTTTCTGTTTTACTGCATGTCAAAATTTGCCTAAAGTTCTGTTTCTGTTTTAAGATACTAGGAAAGGTAGGATGACAGCTAGGAAACAAACAAGAACTCATATGGCTTTATATACTGTACTGTTACTTACAGCTATATACTGTTGAAGCGTTTGACCAGCTAGTTTTTCAAACTCTTCCTTGATCTGGACCATGTCAATCTCACACCGACTGACCACCACCCGCACCAAAGTATCATCATCAGTGCCAATTCCTTTCATCGTTTTCTGCAGCTGACGAGCAAAGTGACCCGCCTTGTTTCTCACGCATCGTACTGTTAATTTAATAAAAAGAATAAATATCATCTACACATAAATAGTTTGAAATAAAAAATAAAATAAAAAAAATAATACAATCTCAATATAAGGAAATAATTGATCTAGTACATCACTCGAAGATACTGGCTTTTTAATGAGAAAGATACATTTTTAATGATATTTTATATCTTATATTTGGGTAGATTAGTTGAAATGAGAACATATAAGTCATTGTCAGAAGAAACACTTTTCAAAGTGAACTCCAGGTTTAGAATCAAAATTCATAGTCTTGTCTGTCCATTAGTTTAACAAGTAGCAAGCTTTTTGAAAATTTTACACCCATAACTGTTTTTGTCAATTATCCTGTCCCAGGTATCAGAAAGTGCTTGATAAAACTTTATTCTCCCCTGGTCATAATTTCCCTGCATGTTTGCATGTTGTTAGACATTAGACACAACCAACAACACAGCATCAACCTACCGATAGTCTTCATGCCACTGAGCAAATCTCCCGACATCTCACTCTTGAGCACCTCCTCGAAGTCCTTTTTGGACAGCTTGTCATATTCATCGAACGTTGCGCGTAGTTGGGGGTAGCTGCGTGACACCAGGATCACGTTGAAGCGGGACTCGTCTGTTCCCCATTTCTTCTCGCCTGCCTCGTACAGAGCCTTGGCGTCCTGTTTGGCTTTGTTGCGATCAACCTCCTTGCTTTCACTTCGATTTCCCTGGACCTGTGACACCAGAAGACGCTTCAGATTTCCAGACGTGTCACCAATGATGTCCTTTTCTAGTTCCTTGTTATATTCTGGGCAGATTGAAAAAGTCACACTTTGATTAATACACATTTCGAAAAAATTTAAAATTAATATTTTTATGATCAAAGCATTTTTGATTTTTTTTAATATAGTTAGATGGAAATCTATATTGTAAACAAGGGTATGGATGTCAACAAAGTTTTTTGCATTCAAGACATCCTTTTACACTTTATCTTATAAAAAAATATACTACACCTATAAATTATTAATATTGTATACAGCTCATGAAACGTTTAAACATGATTTTTTTCTATAATCAAAGTCTGGCTTGATTAATAAATATAATCCCCTTCACAATCAAATCTCACAAAAAAAACACCAAGACAACAACCTCTGACCTATTTCCAATTTAAGTCTTTTTGTAACTTGTTGGTACAATTGTACTGTATATATTTACATACTTACTTGATTTATACATTTCTTTTATCATTTTGATTTGGGCGTTAGATCGTGTACAGAGAATTTCAATCAGGACATCTTCGTCTGTACCTAGTCCCTGTAATGTGTTCAAGTCCATTAAAGAAAAGAACTCTACATTTCAACTTTCAATAGATTTATAAATGATTAAGGTCAAAGCATCAATGATATTTTTATAATTATTAAAACTTCAAAAAATAAAGTATTTGCATGTCCAGGAATTCAAAATGATTGCCCTCGATACAATATGGTTAGCCCGAGATTCCTCTGGCCCTGACACCAGACGTTAGACATTTTGACATCTATCTGTCAACCCCAAACCAGACATCTATCGGTCAACCCCAGACCAGACATCTATCGGTCAACCCCAAACCAGACATCTATCTGTAAAAATGTCTAAGTCTGGTGTTGGGGCCAGAGGAAACTCAGACTACAATATCGGCATGCACAAAATGCTAATAATTCTACAACTATCTAACAATTTAAGTTTGAAACGTTGTATTGAAATATATGGTATCATTAACCGGATCAGGAAAATTAACTGTATACAAGTATACCTAATAACATACACAGTGATTCTTTTTAAGGATCCTTGTTCCACTGCAGGTAAAACATTATAGAATTCCATTGTATTTTCTCAGGTAGCTCAGGTGGTTAGAGTGACCGTATTGTGATCATGGATCTAGAAGTTGAAGGCTGGCCTCATAATTTTTTTACTCTCAAAACACCATTGTTGATGTTGTTTTTGTATTTTTTCATTTTTCCAGTTATTTTTGTAACAATTTTACGAGGTATGGGTTTCTTTTCAGAAATTATTTTTTAAAGCTATTGTCATGCCGGTAAAAAAATGTTCCTAATTCATAGTTAAAGTTTTGACAGTGGTACGGGGATCTTTAAGCATATCTTTAATCGACCGTATTTAGGGTTAGGGTTTAGGGTTATCTAGCTTTGAAGAGACCCTAGCGTACCCACCTTGATGGCTTTGTGTAGTTGGTAGGCGTCATACTCTGCGGGGGCCATCAGTAAGGACTTACACGTGTCTAGATAATGGCCACTCAATTCACTCTTTAAATCCTCAATCAAGTCCTGATAACCAAACAATATTGTAAAAATATATATGATATGGAATGAAAGAAAAAAATTGAGAAAGACATCAAACTATGAAACAAGAAAGACTTCAAATTTTGCTTACTGGAAAAATCAAAATCCAATATTTTTCTTGTGCATGGACAAAGTCATGGCATCAGATTGGACATTATCAGCCTGTTTTGAATCCTATGGCAATTTATTTCTATGTACTTTTATCCTGAATTTGTCAATTTCGATTTGCAATATCTGTTAAAAGGAACACGTACTTTGCCGAACATGGTTTTGAATGTGGACCGGATTTCCTGACGTTGTGGATTAGATCTATAAGGGAGCACATTGGTTATTGCCTCTTCGTCAGTTCCTGAAACACATGTAAATGTATGATAAGTAAAGACCTAGAATTAATTACCCCCACTTTCAAGCAATTTCGTAGTTGTAGTCAGTTTTTAAGATTCGGTGCACACATACTTATAAGTGTCGGGCCTGCATGTATGTTAACATACTAAAGTATGGATCTGCATACTAAATTTCGTTGAATTTGAATGATTTTGGGCACAGTTTCCTAGGAAACAATCTCCTTTATTAAATTGTCGTCAGTACTTACCAAGTCCTTTCATGGCATTTCTCAGCACTTCGGCGTCCTGCTCTGCATTGAACTTATCGTAAGGCTTCACAGTACCTTCAGTCTAAGACAAAGAAGATATTAAGATAAAAACAAAACATAAAACTTTTGATATTGTATAACATCAAAATAACTGGGCATTTTGTCTCCAAGGGAACATCTTTGATCACTGAATTGAACATAAACAACATTTATATATACTGTGAAATCAGATATTTCCGTGGGGCTCACATTTTGTGGTTTCCCCGACAAAACACCATTTCATGGGTATATGATTTCGTGGATTACGAGTACCCACTCAAACAGAGAATTGCTTTATATGAAACTTGTAATTACTTCGTAAACCTTTGAATTTGTGGATGAATATTACCCACAAAATCAACGAAATTAAAAACCCACGAAAAATTAGCGATTTCACAGTATGACTTATATCCAAACATTGAAATGATGACCGCAGAGTTGCTGTGTAAAATAATACAGGAATACTGAGATGCCAACATAATCATACTTCAAATCCAAAACTGATGAAACTTAGGACAAAATATGAAAAATGGGAATTTTATTTACGGAAAACATCTTTACATAATTACCAGGGGAATAACACAAGGTGTTCCAGAAGGGCAGCTGTCTTCTGCTTCGTATGTGACACCATCGTGTTAAGCTTGACCAGATCCAAGTAATGTCTCATTGTCAATTTCAGAAAATGGGATAGAGGATACAAGATTACAAGCGCTTCTTAAATGTACGACGATGTAAGTTTGGCCTAACAGTTATTCAAGTTAGATTGTGGCTTTAGAGATTGGCTATGTTCAAAAAAGTAAAACATTCTAGTAATTCCTTTTCTGACACCTTACCTGTAGGTCTTCCGTTTCCATGGCAAAGAAGGGATCAGATTTAGGTGGTGGTGGTTTTTCTTTCTCCTTTTTCTTTGGTTTACCGTTAGTTTTCTCCACTGGAGGAGGTTTCTTGAAGGTCTCAATCTTCGGTTGCTTTCTCACCGAGCCTCCTGTTTATAGTGGGAAAATACAAAGATGTTTTATTATCCGTTTTCTTACCTTCCCCTTACTGTTTTTGATGTTGATGATTCAGTTTGTTTTCTAATGTATTGATCTGTACAGGAAAATTTCAGAAACGTTTTGATTTTAAACAGCTAATAACTGCAAGCATACCTGCAGGGGAACGCTTCGAATGTCTTAATAACCTTCAAGAGCCTCTGTATTTACCAAATCTCACTCTTTGAAAAGATTGTTCATATACAGGGTATTATACCTACCAGCTTCTATCCAAGATTTTCAATAAGAATTTAGGATTCTATATTTTTACAACCCCAATTTTTGTTTTGTTTTTTGTTGCTTAGGTTTTTTCTCCCTTTTTTTTCTCTCTTAAAATTTTGAACTAACTAACACATCAAAAATTAAAATATTGCAATACATCTAATATAACATGACCGAGGTAGCAACAACATGAACTTAATAATGTATAAAGCATTCATTTGATTAATATTTGATGACAAACTCAAGTTTTATTATCGAATTGCTGATTTTTTTCCAATCTGATTAAAATCACCTGTTATATGGCGTAGTATGAAGTTAACAGAGCCTAACAGATGATTTTAATCAGATTGAATTTTTCTGTAAATATCGGTATAAATTCATTTCTTTGAGATAATAACTTGAGAAGCTCTATCGTCGACAGTCAATTTTTTTAATATTCGTCGAGCCAATACCCTCCTGGCTATTTTTCTATACAAAATTTTCTCACTAAATGATACTCGTAAGTTCTCGGAAATGAAATCAGGGTCAAAGATGTTCAAAACACAGATCAAATCTGTAAGTTGATACAACGTTTAGAGTTTGATGGAACAGAGTTAGCCGAGAACTATTTTCGCTTCAGCGCCATTCCTTCTCATAGGGCCTAACAGGGTGCTGAAGTTGCACAATTGACCCATGTAGGATGTTTGTAATGCGACTGTCGGGTCATTCAGCGATAGTTGCACTGACATTGACCATGATTATCCCCCCCCCCATTTTTTTTGTTTTAAACATAGAACAATTTATTACATGTTAAAGAAAATTTAATTCATAATAAATTTTTGAATTTTCATGTTATGTGGATCTATATGATGAATCTTTAATTCATCCAGATGTGGAAACGTGTTGAATGGGTAGTGCACGAGTTGATTTGCATGTGCTTACTGTCGGCAATATTTCCTTAGTACATACAACATACCTGCCATCTTTTCCTTCAGATTATTTTTAATTAAGAAATAATCAACATATGTGCATGCATTATGGTAGAATATACATAACAAGGCTGAGAAAAGTGTGGAAAAAATGATTAACGAATGCCAAATATTTTTCCAACATTTTTTTAATTCCAAGTTATATATTCCAACATAATATACAAACGTATATATTGATCACATGTAATTCAGAAAATGAATGGAATTTCAAGTCTACGTCAGTGTCTAATAAAAATCATCTAGATCATGCAACTAACTAAATTAAGCTGTTCTAGCTATTGCGCATGCAAACATTTGTTGTGTGATTCTCTGCTTTTATTTCTTCAACACACCAAAAGTAAAGCTGATGTCATAATTTCTGGACGTTGAACCAGTGGAGATGTTTAAAGTTTAACTTGGATAAATTTTGAAAGTTTTTATAGATATATATCATTGTATACACATGGTTGGTTTGAAATAAAGAAATGTAGGAAAGTTTCACTGTTGTACAGTGGAGTTGAGCATACAACAACAACAACAACAACAACAACAACAACGAGAGCAACAACAATAGTGACAACTTACAACAACAACAACAGATTTAGCTTACAATAAAAAACTAGTTTACTGTAAGTCAAGGATAGTCAATGTTAACCTTAGAATTTTAACCTTTACAAATAATATCATAATTGACCTAATAAGTGCTCCCTATATGCACTTTAAATATAAACTTTGGAAAATCTAGAGAATGAATTAAAATGCAGAACCTTTAAAAAGATCAAAATAGCAAAAAAATTAATCTTTTTCAAATAGTAGTTACAATAATTAGAAAATTTAGGTGAAGGGATATGGGATGGTTGCGGAGGACATTCAGATCAGGAATTTAAGGAAAAATTTGCGCTAATACGGAATGGTAGAATTTGGTAGGTCGATCCAATGAGAGATTTTTGAAGATTTTTTCAACTCTGAGGTTCATTAACTTTTTTTCTGGTTCATTAACCCTTTCACCCCTATGTAACTTTAGTAGACTCTACCATGCATTGATCTGGACGCGTCCATTATGGTCTACAGTGTTGAAAGGGTTAATTAAGACATCACAGGCATGTATTTCTATTATGTACACTAAATACTGCACAAAATGACATTAATTACGTGTTAGAAAATATTGAACAAAATAAATAAGAATTGAAAATGTTTCTTTATCACCTGATCAAATATCACAGTTAAATATGTCTATAACCTTTAAGGCATATTTAGACAATATACCACACATTAATTTGCCAGAGGCAGCAATAAAATGAAAAAATCAAAGATTTGTTTTGCATTTACACAAAAGTCATGACAACTGACCATCAAAGACTTTGAGATACACTGTGCATTAAACTTAAACAGGATTAGAGAATAAAAACGAATAAAAATTAAGGTACATAAAATGATGTTTGTATGACAAAAAAACAACAACAAAAAAATGAACTTAAACAGCATAAGAGATTTAAAATTAAGGTTTATAAAATTATGTTTGCATGACAAAAATACAAAAGAAAACTTAAACAGCATTTGAGATATAATTATTTTTACACCTAAGTTTCACCATATGTATTATAACTGATGAAGTTTTCCCGTCCTTGCGTATTGCAGAGTTATCATCTCTTGTGAGCAGGTATTGATTGTTACATCATTGGTTTGTGAGAGGAACGTCATCAATTTTTGAGAAAACGACGTAATTTTCTCACACAACCCGACGTAATTTTCTCACACAAACCAATGAAGTAACAATAAATACCTACTCACAAGAGAAGATAACTCTGCAATACGCAAAGACGGAATAACGGACACAACATCAAAAGTCAAAGATGTGCTTTTATATATACACAGTATACTGCTTTGCGGAGATGAAGTAAATGGTGGTATCTAAATGGTGAGATTTGCATAACCGGAGGGGTGGTCGCTTGAGCAAATAATACATGTACATGACTACTCGCAAAATTAAGCGCTTTTCAGGACTGTACAAATGGCACACAATACATTAAGGTAGACAATTCAACAAGACACTTTGATAGGGGCAAACTGAATGAGGCAAAACAATTCAAAATCAACGTTAACAGCTTCTGATAACTTTTCCCCTTTATTCTAACTACTGTATATACCTGAACATTTTCGCTGCAGGTTTATTTTCCCCTTTTTCGCCTCCCGTAATAATGGCATATTTTACATTACCACCAAATATAGATAAACAAAGTAACTTAGTGTGAAGGGCAAAATTAACCCGGAGTTATAGGCAAAGGGCAAAAAATTCCAGTATAGAGTGTAGGTCTTAACAGAAGTTTTCTTGTTTTAGTCCAGAAAATATCTCATCATATTAAACAAAAATAGTTAATAAATAAAGAAAACAAATCAATAAACAAAAATAAAACGAAACAAAAAATCCTTTAACGTATCACAGTATATCATCTGAGATTCTATCAAAATATGTTCACAATTGATTTTCACAGAATTTGATAAAAATAAATGTCACAGTCTTTCATAATGTTCCTGTAAAATTCCTGTGAATCCCTCTGTGATTTTCAGTGTCATAATGCCAATAATACAAAAACATGTTGAATGAAGCCGAAGCATGCATCTTAAATCTGGTATAAATAGGTGACATGCAAAATCAGTCCACTTTAAGCAGTCAAAAGGAAATGTTTGTTTTCTTGCAAAAAAAAAAGAAGAAAAGTGAAAATCAAGTCTTACGTGGAATTCCTGGTTTCGCCATGACGACCGTAATTTTGTAGCCATCTCCTTCATCTTCAAACTTGGCTTCGTGCATCTGTAGCAATAAATTAAAACTTTATCCTGACAAACCACATGACTTTAGCATATTTTTAATGTTCAAATAGTGTTTACGGAAAATTAAAATAGGTGAGGTATGATGTACAAATTACATTCATGCATTTCAAACTAGCTGGTCCAAAACATGCAATGCAATATTGCTGACAAACTAACAAAAGGTCCTAACAGGATTTAGTAAGTTTGTCAACAATAACAATGTCTGTTATAGGATTCAAACAATATTTGCTAAAATATTAATGGCATTTATAGATGTCAACCTCTGAAACTGCCAACAAGGGAGATCACCCTCATTCCATACCTCAAATGAGGGGCAAAGTGTGTGAAAAATTGTGGGGTGATTGAAAGCAATTTAATTACATTCATCACATTAATGTGTGTTAAACTATAATTGAGACAATACCTATTTATGACAGGGAGATGTTCAGTTTTCATCCACAGTTTTTATATGTGAAATCAGCAAAATCCCTATACACTTCTTGCATTAATTTTGCTCCAATTCATTTACCAATAATTTAGATCATTGTATATACCAGCTGTGATATTTTCACACTGTTATTATTTTGTCAAATGGTAAGGATTGGAATAAGTTTTTAAACATTTCAACATTATTTCTTGGGGTCTCTCCCCATGACAGCTTAATTCGTTGGCTAGTACTGTATTTACGAGGAAAAATAATTAACATGCCAAGAAAACAGAGATTAATTTGCATATATTATTTCTTCACTTGTTTAACAACATCATCTGGAAATGACAAGTTAAAACAGGAGAATATGTTGAAATACCTTTCCCATTTTTGGTTCAGAAACTCTCAGTCGGAACTCTTTGGTGTTTTTGGCGTATTCCAACATGTGTGCGTAAATGTGCATGATGTTATCTTTAAAATCACCTGGAAAACAAAGAATTAATTGTCACTAGCAGAAGAATGTAAATTAACCTGCTTTGAGTTTTGAGGTCGCTAACGTTTCATACTAATTTAAAACTTTTTAAACGCAAAACATTTAGAGTTGATCAACACTATTTTGGTGGGGTAGATTTTGATTGTACATATGTGTAAGATTACGGTTGTCTTTTAGTTTGGCACTAGAAGGAATGCACAATGGATGCACACTACTCTCTTTCCTGTTACAAATGGTGTCCGTGGTCCTTCCTGTGGCGGCAGGGAGTTAGAACCTGGGTTGTTGTTGTTTCGATCGAGGGCCAAAACAGTTAAAAAAGAGGTGGAGTACTGATTTTAATTGTACATTAGATTACGGTCGCCTTCTAGTTCACGCTAGAAGGGATTTTCCTTAAGCTCAGAGGTAGAGCGTCTGACTAGGTAGTCTGGGATCGTGGGTTTGATCCCCGGTGGAAGCACACTACTCTCTTCCCTGTTACAGTGGTTTGAAATTTCAGCATTTTCCAATCATAAAATTTAATAGGTTTAATAATTAGGATCACTTTGAAAGATCGATTCCTGATGATATTTGACAAAATTTCACAAAAAGTACCGTAGGTAACTTTTGTTCATGTGATAAAAGATATGATTAAAATAGGTTGTCAAAATTACCTTTGCCAGGACTGACAGCATTCAGGGCTGGGTCTTGATACATAGGATACTCAATCGCTGGTTTTTGGGGCGGAGGAGCCTCTACAGGTTTAGGGGGCTCGAGAGGGGGCTTTTTGTTGCCCATCATTTTCCTTATATCTCCAACTGTCACATATTTAGCGTCAGGGTTACAGGTCTGAAACGTGTAAACATAGATCTAGTCATTGAATGATAATGAAGCTAAAATCATATTTCATTAAATTAAGTATTTTAAATATTTGCATTATTTTCCTAATTGTGAGTCATAAAACATATAATCTGGTCCAATCTGGAGTGAACAATATTCCACTTGCCCGACGGATTGGTCTAGTTGATTTTACATTAGGTCTTGTATGAAAATTTTCAAGATTATTATTACAATGTTGGTGGACTGGAAGAACATTTCGACTCCGCTTGTGAGCTATATTTTTACATAGGAAATTTTACTACCCTGACAAATTAATGCTTTGTCTCCAGATATTACAAATATACTATACTTATTTTTTAGTACATGAGAGTATTTTTTTCAACATGTCAAATATATGTTTATAGTATAAAGGTTTTTATGTCAAAAATATTAATTTAACTTTATCGAGACTGTCTAGTGTCAATAATTTAATCTTCAATTGAATTTCTCAGATTTTTTTTCTCTTATTCATGATGAATACAGGTATTATAAATAACTTAGAAATTCTGAAGGTGATATACAAAGTGCTCCATCACATTAAAACACTTCATTTTTTTTCGATTGTCATGAACTTTAATTTTTTTTTCAAAAACACTGAATCCTTATGTTGATAATTTCAAATCTTTAAAGGGACAATTTATTGAAGTACTTTTTTTATAATGTTGTCACAAAAATTCTTCATGACAATATAGTTTGGTACTCTTTATGAACAATTCATGTCGAGAAATTGACAAGAGATCATGTTTTCTTGGCGTTTTCAATCATTAATGAAGAAATCCTTAACTGTACAGAATGTCTTTTCAGCCGAGGAGAGAATGTAAATTCTCACTTTATTCACCTAGCCTCTTTGGAATACATGTAAATGCATTTATTCTGAATCAAAAGCATCTTCCAACAACATCTCAAACATCGTTTCAAATAAGTAATCTATATTACGTTTAAACCTATATACTTTCTGCGGTTTGAAATTCTCCCTACAACACCCTCTCAGTGCGTGCATGCTCTAATTGAACCTATTTATTTTTAAATCAAGTCCAACTGTGAACAGAAATTTCTGATTAGAGGTTTATATTGTGATACTTATAATTCTTGCTTGCAATGCATTGTGTAAATTCAAGAATGCATTATGTGTGATTGAACTCATAACTGAAACTGTGTTGTCGGTCGACAGCTTGGTACCATACATGTTTACTTCACTGAATGGCTCGGATATTGCGCTATTTCGGTCTTAGCTATTTTTATCACTGGCTTTCCAAAACTGACCACAACTGGACTTTGGCTTCAGGTCATGTCATTATCAATTACGTAAAGTTTCATTAGGAGATAAATATATTAAGTATCAACTCGATTTTCTGGTTGTCATTTGACTAAATAGCCCCTTTAAGTACTGTCAACATAGCAATGTAATGTAACCTAAGGATATACAAACTGGACTTCGCCCATAGATATTTTCTTTTATGTTTATGAAGAAAAATAATTTTTAATACTCCTGCTTTGTTTAACTTGAACATTACAAGAAATATTCTCTCTGAAATGGTACTTGATCAGAAATAATTACCTTAACTGTAAAATTTGAAAAAAATATAATGCAGTCAAAATTATAAAACCATAATGTTACAACAAATTAATGACGACAAAAGAAGTATCAATTTCCTTCCTCCTGACCTACTTACATTAATCATGCTTTCTGTTAGGTATCCATACTGTGTTGGATAAGGGGGTGGGGGAACACTTGGCCCCACCCCAGGGATCTGTGTGGGTATTGCCCCTCCCCACACATTGATCTGGGTCCCAGAATAGTTTGTAGGATTAAAGGGACCGTCAGGAATTTGTGGTGCTGGAAGAAAAAAACAATATCTTCAAAATGTACCAATATATGGCTTGTTTGGAAGTTTTTATAACACAAAAAGATGGATTAATATATTTTTGCAATTGAGTTATAATTCTTCACCGATTATTTAATTTACACATGCTCAACTTGAGTAATGATTCATCAAACATAATTTTATCAATATAGAAAACTATTTCTCAAATGATTACAGAAGTATATTGCTTGTTTATCTAATAAGGACTCACAAGGGTATGACCCATCAGATGCTAAACCAAGCGTATCAGACAGAACCGCTTCACTGGCCCACGCCTCTCTAGGGGCTTTCGTAAGGGATTTACGCAGTGGAGACTTCGTACGGACTGGAGACTTGCTCTGTAACAAAACCATTTATACATTTGATCTTTTCCAAAAAGTAAATGTATACTTACAGAAAATGCAAAAATTAAAGTCAGAATGTTAGAAAATTGTATGTTAAATCAGTAATAACCATCTATACAGGAGAACTGTTTTAGCGTAAAATTACTCATTTTGACACCAATACCAATACAGGTAAATGCAAGGCTTGCATACATGTGGTAAGGTCAAATAGTCCAATGAAAACTTTGAAAATGTTGTTCTTTCAAGTCATGGAAAAGATGTGATTTTTTTTATTAATTTATTGACCGAGTAAAAAATTGGACTTAAGCACAGAATCTGAGTTTGAGTATCAAATGGATTCATGAATACGGGTCCAGGTCTTGTAATAATAATACAGTACCCAATTTCCTATATCATTGAATTTTACCTCAGAGAGTGCGAAATGTTTATTACACCATCTCCAAAAAGTGTATGTGGAAAAAAAATATCAATTTAATCAACAGATTAAATTCTTACAATTTTAATCTTGAACAAAAATATGCACAAATTAATCATTCACACTGTCACATTAATTTTTGTATAGATTTTTTTTGCTCAACAGGTTTATAAATAATTTTTGTTTGTACCTTTTTAGGAATTTTCTTCTTCTTAGTTTTGGGTTTTATTGTCGAATCGCTATCCTGGTCTGATGTGTCGAAGAACCCTGAGTTGTCGTCTGTCGTCGTGGTGTCCTCCGTGAGGTGCTGTGTTAGTCGGCCAATGTCCTCCACGTGAAACTGCTTGGACATAACATCACTCTCACGCAATCCATCTCTACAAAATACGATATGTTGTACTATCGTGTTATTTTATATATTTTTCTTTTAAGTACTATAGTCATACCAAATTTTACCCTTTTTAAGATACATGTATATGACAATTTTAGGTAATAAAAAAAAAGCTAATATTGAAACCAAGTTAAAATTATCCTTTTTAACTGAATGCAAAATGAGAAGTATGATTTTTTTTTAAATTTGGGTACAGTGATTCCATTGTCCTTGGGTGACATAATGCATTCTTTCAATCATTGTATCAAAATAATGTCCCCACTTTCTTAAAATTACTCAGAACAACTATAAAATTAGTAGTTAAAGGATGAAACCTATTTTTCTGTAATAAACAAAATGCACCTAATGTTAGGAACTGTTTTAAACTACAACAAATTTGACTTGTCTACTAAAGTAATCTACAAAAGATCTGGCACAGTGTCAAATCTTTAACAGTTCTGATTGGTCAAAGTGGTGAAATATACAGATTTGATTGGTCCATTTACGGTAGTGACCTATAACAGATTTAATTGTTTTTTATTTGTGGGATGTGCAACTGTCTGTCCTCTACCTTGCTACAGCGATGGTCTTGATTACCCTCTTGCCAGGTTTTAGGGTAAAGGGTCCGATGTATTTGAAGGTCACCTCTCGCCCAGCAACCTTGCGCTGGAACGGGTTTGGCTTTGTACCATCTGAGGTGAAAAATATCTTACATTCTGTCGTTTCTACAATGAAAAGAAAATACTTCATATGAAACTGTCATTTAAAATATAAAGACGTATTTAAAAGCAGTTAAAACCCAAACTGTTTATTTGATTTTCATTGTCATGTGCATGGTTACATGTATGCATTTCTATATTATTTAATTTACCGTTATGTTTATCATATATGTACAGAGCAGGACAAGTAGTTGTTAGTAATAGGTGACTCCCAGGATGTTAACTAGCTTACTTTCTTATACATCTTACCAGATTTGGGTTTTATTTTCAACCTGATTTATGTTACAAAGATTTCCTGATCTTTATATTTCGGGGGTTTCATGATAAACTACATGGAAATCCCTAATTTTTATGTTTGAGGGATTCCCTGGTATTTGCTTGGAGCATTCCATGATCTATGTTTTGAGATTCCCTGTTGAATATAATTAAATTAATATTACCGGTATAATATATCAGAAACTCACCTGTACATAATTCAATCAAGGTTGATGTGTCAATTTTATTTCCAGTCAGGCCTGGTATAGCTTTTCTGAGTGGAGCTATCATAGGGGGACAGACAGCCCCGGCGCTCGGCATGATTGTAGTTCACTCTTCAGGAGCCTCACAAATATTCTCAAATAGATTTGTCCTGAAAAAACAACAACAACATAATTGCATAACTTTGAACTCTGCAACTGACTGCAAGAACAGCATCAATCAAGCAGTAAAATATAAACTCTCTGCATCATTTTAATTATCAACCAAGAACAAGAGCTAATTCTAGCTTAATCCTTTCACCCCTATGTAACTTTAGTAAACTCTACCATGCATTGATCTGGATGAGCCCATTTTGGTCTACAGTGGTTTAAGATGACTTTGCACCTATAGCTCGATTTCAGTATCTGAAATTGATATTTTGTCACAGCCACTTATAACAGACTCATACATGTTTCATTTCTTACGATGAAAGATTTATCAGAATAAATAAAGGAACAAGTAACACTAGACACTAATAAACATATCAAAAAATCTGCGGACGAAAAGAAAATAGCTTCATGTATGTTAAACTGAATGAATTCCTAATTGATCCCAATTTAGGAAAATTAACATATAATATTTTAACTGTAAGGGTTAATGTTCCTGTTGACAACAAACTTTCACCTAAGTGCTGAAGTTCCATTTCAAAATTTCATTTAAAATGAAGACTTAAATTTGCATGGCAAGTACCAAACACCTTTTCCAATTGCCAAAACACATAGGTTCAAAACAGTCTTGGTAGAATGCAATCTTGAGTTAGAGACACATGCAAAAAGTAACTTACCTAAATCACTACCTTCAGGAACTATTATCATTTTTTTTACAACCTAATGTTTAGTATATGTAGACAGATTGATGAATGACCAGGATATTCAGTACTATATCATAGCTGTATACAATTTATCCGTTACTTTAACAATAAACACAAAACTAAGTATTCTAATGAAATATGTCAACATAGGTGTAACACTACATTACAGCGTTTGTGTAATGATAGTCATGAGGTATATGGAATTTTAAAAGATGTCATTCACTCATTGAATGAATAGTTCCCTAGAAGAGGAACATATATATACATGTATTTTTCAGCACATGCATGCATGCAGATTTTGTAGAAATTGCATGTGGATGTGTTATTTATTCTATAGGAGTAGACTTTTATTGAGCATGCATTCAAGTCAGATTCACCCACATGTCTTAAGGTAAAAAAAAAGATAGGGGAATATATATGTATATGTAATTAATTTAATATTTATTTTGTTCTAAGCCTGTCCTACGTTACTTGCCCCGCTCGATAATGTAGAACAATAAGTCAATACATTATTTTTCTTCCAACCTGCACCAGTTTATTGATATTGAAGTAAACAGGCATAATGGTGTTATTGTTTTCAAAAACAAGTACACATTGTCATCTAAAACTGAAATCGAAGTGGATATAGTCCAACAAATAAAATGTAAAGGGTTGACATCCAGTCCTAACCAATGTCTCTTTGTTGTCACTTGTATAAACTCGAATGTTACGTTTCATATAGATTGTATACACACAAGAAACATTCCTGAGTCGGTGATGAAAATGCTGAGGAAACAAGTCCAAACAGAATGAAGAGTCATTGATTTAAAGTATTTCGAAGCTATCTCTACCATACACACCCATTTGCTTTTTATCAAATGACATTACTCACCTTGATGTAAATAAAAAGATACGGAGAATTCGACGCTATCTCTCGTTATTATGATAATATTCCCAACTGTTTATGGTTGTTTGTGTTGTCAAGTCGCCATTTTGCACCTCACGCACCGAAGAGCACCGAGCACTTGCCGGAAGTAGTTAAACCGGAAGTCCCTTTGACCATATTGGAAGAATTTGGCCCAGATCTCAAGTAAGCATGGGGAACATCAATCGGTTAATATCATAAATGTGAACACCCATCATCGTCTGGTATATCAATGCTACATACAAAGATAATTATGTTGTCAAGATTTTGTGGTGTTAAATCAATATACTAGATTATAACATGTTTGTGACGACTTTGGTTTGTCCCTTTCTGTATGACGGGCCGTGTATGCCTGATAATACCGCCTTATATGTAGATTGTGTTATCTGTAGCGATTGTAATCACGACTTCATATGATTAACTGATTCTTATATATTTTAATGCTTCTTTTGATAAGGAATATTCTGGACGTGTCATCATTTCTTCTTATAAAGTAGGTAACATTGACATTTGCATATTAATATCGTTGACCAGCCCCCCCCCCCCCCTTCATGGATCAAATTTCTGTTGTGTAAGTTTTAATTCTTATTTGAAAGTGGTGATCTGATTTATTTTTTCAAATGTTCAATTTAGAAATGCCAACTGAAGCCGTAGAGAGACCAATGGAAGACCTGAAGCCCGAAGAGGGCTCTGCCTCCGGCACAGAGTCAGACAGCAGTGATTCAATGCCAGAGCTCGAGGAAGGGGATGCCGCACAGCAGAGCCAGGTATAACTTGTGTTTCTGCTTTCAGTTCATGATTACATGTTGAAAATCTGCATGTGTGTGCTAACATGTACACATAGTAATGTACATCCCTGCATGCAAGAAATTTTGAATGGGTCAAACCATTTTAGGACCAACATCTAAAGTTCTTGTTTAGTCTAAAAAAACAACCTGCATAATATTTTAATTGGAGTGCAAGGGGTTTGAAAACAAATTTTAAGTCGCTTGCCACTTAATCATTAAATATGATTTATTCCCATTATGAATTTGATCTTTTTACAGTTATAGTTTAGCTTGATAGAATGTGCATATTTTATTTGTTAGTTACCAGCGGCCAATGTTCACCGACTGCATTTCAAATGAGCAGATTTCTGCACACACTTGTCTATGCACACACTCGATCACAAACACAAATTGCTGATATTTTTTTTACAAATATTCATTCACGAAATTTTCACAAACCTTCTAAGTAATGTTTGATTAAGTAATCACTAGTTCATATCTGAAGATGAAAGCTATAATGATCGTATGATGTGGTAGATGTAGCCGCTGAATGAGTGTTAACATGATGATACAAAACAATGGCTGACGAGTGATTCTCATTAGAGTTATTCCCCATACATGTTCTTTTGGGTAATACTTGTTGAGTTAGCCACCGAACGCCTGGCAGTTCTCGTGGCGCTTCAAATGTTTTTAGAATCATTTGATCAACAAAACAAGACGTCAGAATTTGCAAACATTGTGCAAAACAGATTTCACTACATTTGTAAAAACAGATGCAAGCTTAAAAATATTTGCAGTTTGGGAAAATAAGGCACGTTTTTGCTAGGGGAAACGGCCTGTATTTGGCTGTAAAACTGAGCAAAAAATAACTGGTATGTAATCATTAAGGCTAAAGAAATGTACATTTAAAGTCAACTTAAAAATTTAAATCTTTGCAGAAATCTAAATCTCTAGTACATGTTTGAAATATGCCTGCTATGGAAATGTTATTAGATAACAAATGTACCTAGACTAGTTTGCACTTGGACCATTCACATTTATCACATTTTATTGTGTTGTAGCTTGCTGCAGCAGCAGGAATTTCAGAAGAGCTAACGAGCAAAGCAAAACAAAGTCGCAGTGAAAAGAAGGCCAGAAAAGCTATGTCTAAATTAGGTAAGCCTACTACAACTTTGAGATTTACACAGGTCAACACAGAAAAATGTTAATTGTTTCGCAGGAAAATCTTGATCATATAATTAACTATACAAGTCTAGATATAATTTGCTTGAATGCTTTCTCAGTGACTGTTCATTGAACTATAAGTTTATTGAAGTGCTTGTGATGATGAAAATCTTTCCCCAACTTATCGATATATGATGATGCCAAAGCTGTTTTTAAGCCAGATTGATCTGATGCAAGCACGTAGCTCTGTTCCAATGCGCTGTCAACTGTTGTACTGTTGTTTATTCATTTTATACATGTTGGTTTTATCTCTCCTGCAGGTTTGAAGCAAGTACAGAGTGTAACACGAGTAACAATAAGAAAGTCCAAAAACATTTTATTTGTTATCAACCGACCAGATGTATACAAAAGCCCAGCATCGGATACCTATATTGTGTTCGGTGAAGCAAAGGTAAATAAAATGTATTTCCATAGCTGTCATCACTTTTGATAAAAAAAGGGTTTGAGAACATAATGATCTAGGTGAATTGAAGAGACCAAAGACTGAATGAGAAGAGAAACAGCAATATATGAATGTTAATGGTTTTGGTGCTTGTTGAAAAAAGTTAACAAGGCAATACACTTAATTAGTATTTGTCTACAAAAATCATGTTTTTACCTATTTACAGATTGAAGATCTGAGTCAACAAGCCCAGATGCAGGCTGCAGAGAAGTTCAAGACTCCTGAAAACCCCATGAGTCTGGGTGGAGACAGTCCAAGCACCATTGCCGAGCCCATCCAGGAGGAGTCTGAAGAGGAGGGCGAGGTAAACTTAATTCTACTCACTGTGTAAAGACAGTTCTAGTCAAAACATTTTGAGAAAAATGAAGGAAACAAACCTGGATGCATAGAGATAATGGGAAATGTCAACTACTCTCAACGTGCATTTCATATACATCAGTGATAATTCTACCTCTTTCTCACAGGGACCTGACTGTGCTTGTAATATAATGAAACTATTACCAACACAAGGCATGATGTTTGAAGATAAATTGATTTTATGCATTCTTTTGGGAAAATACATTATCCAGAGGAAGGGGCCTAATAACGGTCCCAAATTGACCTTTAATACATAAAATGGCAAATTATCCCTTTACACGTTTCCATTTATTCTGTTTTTAGAAGCATTAGTGGATGTTTCTTTCATGCATATTTTGAATTTCAGGTTGATGAGAGCGGCGTGGAATCAAAGGATATTGAACTTGTTATGTCCCAAGCCAATGTATCAAGATCTAAAGCTGTCAAGGCGCTAAAAAATAATAATAACGACATCGTCAATGCTATCATGGTAAGTTTTGGTAAACATAATCACAGTTTAAGATGTTTTCTTATCAAATGATTGACAGAATTTGCTAAAACAAAGAGGGTATTTTTAGAAGCTTTTGATGTTACACTTTTCAAACCTAACAATTACTGACAGAATTTTTGTGCCACTAATAAACATTTGAAAATTGATATCTCCATTTTAGATGTACCAAAAAAGGTATCAAGTTTGTGAAGAAATCTGAAATCACCAAGTTCAATAAATTCTCACCCCAGACAGAAAACATGAGTGAAGCTGGCTTTGAACTGCTGTAATTGTTAAAACTTAGATTAATTTTAAATATTTAGCCAGTCGTCAAATGTTATGTTTTCAACATAGACAATGGGTCTAGGAAACTTTGGAATTTTGACTTCCAACACCTATAACGAATATCAAGTTTAGTTGATAAAAACTTTTCCAAGTATCATATGGAAGATATGTTGTGAAGGTGTCTACCTGTCTTTGACAATGCAGGCATCTAGTCTGCACATACCCATTTATGTTCACTTGATATTGCCTTCAGACACAGTTTAAAGCCTAATAGTTACCAATTGGTATGTGAAATCTTTGTATTTGACTGTTTTTTTTTGTCGTTTCAGGAATTGACGATGTAACCTTTGCTGCCTCGATGTCCCCTGTTTATAGCTTCATACCCCATTGTGCTTGACTGACTCTTCTTTCATTGTGATATTTATATGTATAACGCCTAATAAAGGCATAAAACATTTTTCTACCATACCTCGTCTTTTTCTTGTGCACGTGTGACATGATTGTGTATTCAACTGTGATCTGGCAAACAGGTAGGAGACCAGGCCTGGATTTCTCAAACAATGTTGGCCAGGTTTTGTCCTTGAAAAAATAAATGAGCCTCTTCAAATAACCAGCAAGTGTTTTATACAAAACTACCTGTAATTAGTCGTCTTGGAAACCATGTGCTTTTTTTTATCCTATTCTGTATACAAAAGTAGATTTCACTTCAAAATTGCTATAATTGCAATACATTGAGATACCTTGACCGACATAAAAGATTTGAAATGACTTGACAGAACTTCCTGTTGGTGGCTGTTCTGGCCTCGATTGATAGATGTAGGTAAATCAATAAGTACCCAAAACTGCTCTCATTATCACAGGGACCTGAGAATTAATTACAGCTATAATCAAAAGTGTTCCGAGTTATTTTACATGTTTTAGGGGTTTTGATAAACTTCTGGCAATTGATGGTGATGTGTGCATTTTTACTACCGAAAGTTTATCTAAACCCATAAAACTTTTAAACTAAATTACTCCATAGTAGCTGTAAGTTATTAATTCAGTCACAAATGATGCATCAGGAAAAGCTTACAATATCCAAACACTTGCATACCAAACTTATTAAATCTTTTGGGAGGCCTTTTATAAAAACAAGATGAAGAAGAGAAACAAATTATAAAATTAGTAGACTTGTTGTTCTAGGGTGAATTACAAAGCAGTATGAGGCTTGACGTTGGTTTTCCAATTAAACAATGATTTGGCTGCTGTTTTGGCAATAACTTTTTTCAATTTAACTTGATTGATGTCACTTGGAATTATTGTATCGCTATGACTTGTGCTATTGAAAAGAAGTCTTGTCATAATACCGCGCTAGATACAACAGAATTATTGTATGCGAAAGCTGGGTATTCTATATGGAGTCTTTCTTTTAATACAAGTCCGCTTTTAAAGCATGTTCTAAAGTTGAAACTACAGTAGCCGGAGTTTCCTCTGGCCCTTACACAAGACCTTTTGACTTGTAGACGTCTGGT